ATCTACAAGGTCCCTTCCAACCCGACTTCTATGATTCTAGGTAAATACTGCTGACCCTAGAAAATTCTGTGCTGGACAAGGTGTACAGTATATCCAGTGAACTTTTTACCACAGTTTTAACCCCAAGGACAAAACTGTGGGTAGCATTCATAGGATATCTGTACTCTAAATGAAGCAATCCTTATCAGATTTTAAACACCATTCTATGCAGGAATGTGGTTGTCTCTCAAATGCAGTCATTCTTTGCTTTCAGTCTCAATCTGGAGAAAATAAGATCAGTTAATATGGAATCCAGTAGGCCTGTGTGAAGTGGCTAGTATTAGCTTTGGATTTGGCTGATTCGGGGGACAGTGATTTGATATCACTGTCCCGAATTCATTCAGCCAAATCAAACAGGCCCCACACCCCCTGTCTGCTCTCCCAGCCCCGTCAATGGCTGCCCTGCCCAGCCCCAGTGTCCTGGCTCTTAAGTAAAAAGAAAGCCCCACACTCACTGGCTGCTGCCAGGTGGGGGGGCGATCCCCACTGCCTCATGCATGGGAGGCTGCCATGAGCCCCCAGAAGCTACGATGGCTGCTGCAGCAGCCAGCTGGGGAGCGTGGGACTTAAAAAAAAGACCCAGGAGCTGGGGACAGGTGGGGCAACTATTGACAGGGCTGGGAGAGCAGGCGGGGGGTGGGGGCTCATAGCAGAGCCCCCCACATAGTGCAGGGCAGTGGGGATTCCCCCCTTCCTGGCAGCAGCCAGCAACTGGGGGCTTTAGAGAAAAAGAGAGAGTTGGGAGCTGGAGCTGGGTGAAGCAGCCATGGGGGTGGTGCTCAGGGAAGCTGGGGGTGCAGGCAGGGGATAGGGACTGGTGGGGGGTCCCCCGTGGTCCCCTTCCCCTTCCTCTAGCTCCCTCCACCCTTACTGGCACAGAGTCTAGATCCAGCTCCCTGTGGTGGCAAGTGGGGACTAACTGAATCTGAATCTTTTCTGAATCGATTTGGAAAGCTTTGAATCTATTTGGACCTTTTTATTGGTCTCCTGATTCAATTCGGATTCCGACATTCGGCTGCTGAATTGGGCCAAATCTCCTCCGAATCGAATTGACACCTGAAGCTTCGCCTAGAATCCAGGCCTCTGGCACATTAGAACCACGTGGACAGGGCATCAGAATACGAGACAAGACACATGGGTTCTATTTGGCCTTTGTCTACCTACCTAAATGACCTTGGACAGGCCTTAAGGTTCAAACTCTCTCTCAACACCCCTATTGATGGCAGCAAAGGATTGGCCCCCAAGTGATGCATGCCTTAATTTGTCCACTGGCAAAATGGAGACAATACTGTTTTAACCTGCAGTCTTAAGGCTCTTTTAGATCTACAGATTCATAACTATGGTGCACTATTGTGCTTCTTGCAATGCTTCCATATCTTGCATCCTTCCAAGTGCACTAATTTGTCTTTTTTTTTTTTTTTTTAAAGACAGAATCTACGCTTTTTTTGTGACTAGATTTTAAAAGCAGATGAAAACTTTTATGATGAATAATGCATTTATGCCTGTTAAAGATAGGGTAAATAGATATGCCTGCTGATCTAGTATGACAATTTTGGAGATTAAGGAGGAATATTTCCTATTACGTGCAGCACTGCTGGATTCAAATTTTTTAAAGGCCACATCTGAAGGTCTTTATCTTGGCAACTCCCAGCGCCAGGACAAATTTTGAATTTAAAAAGTCTTTCCCAAAACGAGCAATTCTATAAAAAAAAGTCAACCTTCTGTACTGTATTAGAAAAATAAAGACCATCCTATGGAAATGCTGCAGTCAAAAAAACCCCACAACACCAACCTAAACAGTCACCTGAAATGAACAGTCATCATCATAAATCTCATCTGCCAAAAACCAGGAAAGTAGAGAATGTAAAGTTTTCTGTTTAATGCATATAATTTTAAGCCACTTCAGAAAAAATTAAAATTTAGTAATGTGGTATATTGTATTAAATTGAGGCAAGTTATTAACCAATGCAGTACTTCCCATCCTTACCTGAGGTACTGAAGCTACCCGATGCAGGTTTTCTCTGCCTGTTTTCTTGATAATGTAACAAGTGAGACCACAAAGCAGATTTTCCCTAAAATTAAAAATAAACACCAGTTAACAATCCAAAACCTGCTGAATTTTATAACTGAAAATTCAAGACCCCACTGAAAACAGAAACTATGACAAGTTTGTTTCAGAGACAGCTTTTCTGGTTTCCCTGCCATTATCATTGATAAAAATGAAGATCCAGAAACAAGAGGTTAGAGGTCCTCAGGAGCTGGAAAGACTACAGGAGCACAAAGGAAAAGTGTTAATAATTTCCAAGTGTCCTCAACATACATTTTGCCATGTATTTCCAAATTAACACATCAGATGAATTTTGCTTTTCATGGTTGCTAAGATGTCACCAAAATTCATTTTAAAGAGTAGTATTGCGTTTCAATACGGACAAGTGCAGGGTGCTGCACTTGGGCAGTAGGAACCAGCAGCACACTTACACAATGGGGAACCCCCTACTCGAGAGCACGGAGGCAGAAAGAGATCTTGGAGTCATTATTGACTCCAAGATGAACATGGGCCGACAATGCGAGGTCATGGTTGGCAGGGCTAACCGGACCTTGTCGTGCATCCACAGGTGCATCTCGAGTAGAGCCAAGGAGGTGATCCTCCCCCTCTACGCGACGCTGGTCAGGCCACAGCTGGAGTATTGTGTCCAGTTCTGTGCGCCCCATTTCAAGAGGGATGTGGACAACATGGAGAGGGTCCAGAGGAGGGCCACCCGCATGATCCGGGGACAACAGGGCAGACCCTACAGTGAGAGACTGCGGGACCTGAACCTATTCAGCCTCCACAAGAGAAGGCTGAGGGGGGACCTGGTGACCGTCTATAGACTCACTAGGGGGGACCAGAAGGGTTTGGGGGAGACGCTGTTTCCCCTAGCGCCCGCTGGCATAACAAGGAGTAATGGGCACAAGCTGATGGAGAGGAGGTATAGATTGGACATCCGCAAAAACTACTTCACAGTTAGGGCGGCTAGGAGCTGGAACCAACTTCCAAGGGAAGTGGTGCTGGCCCCTACCCTGGGGGTCTTTAAGAAGAGGCTGGATGCCTACCTGGCTGGACTCGTTTGAGTCCCGTTTCTCTTTTTGGGGTTTTTTGTTGTTCTCCCGCCCTGGCGGGGGGTCGGGCTAGAAGATCTACTAGGTCCCTTCCGACCCTTAATCTATGAAACTATGAAACTACAAGCCAATGTGCAAGCAAATGATGATGTTATGAGGTAATAACCTGAGCTAGGCATCTGTCTGTCTCTCCCACTGAAGGAGAAGAGTGATGCATAAATCAAGTCAGTAAGCTGTCTTATACTAAGCCCAATTCTCTAATACCTATTCCCCTCTCAGCTAATGTACAGATAGAGAGCTACAGATATGCATTGTCATTTTTCAAATCCTTCAAAAATCTGTCCGAGTTCCTCTGACAAAGACCTTGATAAGTTACAAGAGATAGAATTCACACAGGACACTTTAGCACGAAGCTTGACTAACATCTATCTGATGCATAAAAATAAAAGGGTAAAATGTGGTGGCCTTATTATTTATACCACAGTTATAGCATATACCATGTTCATCAAGATGCTGCCTTTCTAAAATGTGTTGGTGGGTAAAACGTCAGATAACAAAATTATCCCTGCCATACCACCAAAGAGCTTCTCAGATTTACTGCAAGACTATTTGTGAATGATAAAATCAAGTGTTACTGAAGCCACAGAAGATAAACAATAACCTAAGAGACATCCACTCCATTGATTGGATGTATTTCCTCACTAATTGATTAACTAAGAATCTTATGTTTCTTTTCCACACTACAATTCTGTGCAAAAGAGGAAGGTACTTATATAGGAAAAAGGTTGTTTAATTTTGGCTCTAACTGGGATTTCTAATTTACTTCTTTACATGGATGACTTGTGCCACTTTAATGGGGGAGGAGGGGAACATGCCCCTCTAGCAACCGGGGCAGGGTCCCCCCACAGCCAATCTCACCAACCAGGGTGGGGAAGTCACCCCACGGCTGATCAAGGTGACCAGGAAGCAGCCGTGGTACTCCCCAAAGTGGCCGCGCCACTTCATCCGATGCTCCCACTCCCTGGCCAGTACTCGCAGGGGGGGCACTGGAGCTCCCGCCTGTTCTCCTTCCCCCCCTCCCCCATTGCCTAAACGGAGTGTGCGGCCTGTCAGGAGGTGCAAGTGCACCCCCATGTACCCGCTATGCATCTCCACTGCTTCTTTAACATGAAGGTATTATTGGTATTTGGGGAACAAAAAACATTCTAACATCTGAATTTCTAGGTATAAAAAAAAAAAAGTCAGATCTAAAAATCTGTCCCAAACTGTTAAGTTCTGCTTCTATAAAAATCTGTCCCAAACTGTTAAGTTCTGCTTCTAATCTGGAGACTAAGAACTCATTACTAAAATATTAGCCTCTGCAAAGACTTTCTTCCAAGGCACTGCACCCACACAAAACTAAGTTATAGATATATAGAAAATAAAACAGAAAAATGTTTCAGTTCTGATTGAGAAAGAAAAACCTTTAAAAAATGCATTTACAAAAAGCCCTAAGAGAAGCCTCATGTCACAAGAGAGCATCTGGTAGGTTGACAATGGAAACCAAAATATGCCTTGTAGGGGTCTACCCAAGTTGAGGTGAAAGTGGGTCAATTTTATGGGCAGGTTGCAAGTCTCGCAGCCATTTTCATCAGCTTATTGTGGTGGGAGGCCCACCACACCTGACTGACAAAGGGGCTCTGGTGGCACCATCAGTGATTGATGGGAAGGGCTGTCCATCATATGGCCCCACCCCTCACCGCTGATTGGTGAAGAGGGACAGGGCCACATGACAGGTAGCCCTCAGCCAATCAGCTGGGATGGCAGCCATCTTGCTTGCTCATTTTCATGTTGGTAGATCTATTTTTTGCCATGCTACACAGCTGGGAGGACTGCTAGCTCCCACCAGGGAACCAGCACTATTTTTAGTAAGTTTGGGGTTTTTTGCCCAGAAAATTGCCTGGTTTTGCAACTTCCACAAAATCAGTTTGAGCAGGTCCCTACTTATAAGAGGGGCTTTAAAAAAGGACAGAAGTAAAAGAAAGACAGGGAGACAACTACAACCAAAATCATCTTTCTGGGAAAAAAATGCACTCAGAAATACAATCTACAGTGACCATTTGGTACTGTAACTGCTGAGGACAGCATGTGTACCCCATGCTGGAACCAATCATGAGAAGAACACCAATAACAAAAGCAAAGAACTCGACATTAAATGGAAATAGCAATGAGCATCAAAAAGAAAGCATATATGTTGTATCTGCCCATTTCTCTCAATGCACATTATTCTACCTTGACCTCTCTAAATAGCAATTATGATGCAAGATTCGGACAAAGGGAAACACAGGATTAAAAGGCCACAGAAGTTTGGACAGGACTGGACTAGTGGGTTCAATCTTTTGGTCCCACGGGCCATGGCACACGTGCCTGGATCAGGCCCCATGCCACCCCAGCCCTATGCACCCAATTGAACATGCAGGGTCATGCTACCCAACCTGCCGGCCTCCCCATATGTCCAGAAATTTGGCAGCAGAGTGGTCACTACTCCTTGTTGCCAAATTTTCAGGCCCGCAGGGAGTCCAGTGGACCAGATGAGACAGGTCAATTGGCTAGATCTGGCCCACAGGCCGGGGGTTGAGCACCCCTGGACTAAACCAATAAGGGCACAGAACATACTCTATTAGTTAAGGAAGAGGGTATGCTCAAGCATTTGATGGATACATAGTTGGTCTGCATATAGAACAGCCAATTATTTGCAGATACGGAACTTAACAAAAATTATCAGAGTTATGAAACAGCTCCTGTCCTAGGAGAGAATGAAAAGGCTGGGATTCCAGTTTGGAAAAGAGAAAAATTGAGGGGGAAAATATGACAAAGGTATATACAATCAGGAAGCATGTTGCATGTTACATGAGTAGGTAGCTGTTATTTACCAAGTCCCAGAATACAAACTCTAGGGACACCCACTGAAATTATCAGAAGGCAGGTTTAAAACAAAGAGGAAGCACTTTCATTTATTTATTTATTTTAAATACACAGCACAGTTAATTTGTGGAGGTTGTAGAGCCAGTTAGTATAACCAGGTTCAGAAAGGGAATTAGCCAATGTCATAGAGGACAGGTCCACTAGGAGCTATTAAATAGAGCAGTCAGAAATATATCCTCTGACATTCCTAAACCGGGGGAATATGCCAAGATGAATGATCACTCTAGACCAGAGCTTGGCAACCTTTTAGGAGCAGTAGCTCAAATTAATGCAGATCACTCTGAAAGCATGGGACCACTTTTAAACACAGCTACCACTGCTTCCCCCCCACACCAAATTTGTCACCACCCTGCTTCCAACATGACCGCTGCCACCCACCCCCCATCTCCCCGCAATGAGCTGCCATAGACATGCTTCTGACCCGGCTACTGCTTCCCCACACTGCGCAGTTGCTGTTGACATCCTGGCTTCGTGGGCCAGATCTGGTTCATGTGCCGCAGGTTGCCAACCCCTGCTTTAAATATACCCTGTGTATATATTCTGCCTTTAAAGCATCTACTACTTGCCACTGAGGAAGACAAGATAGTTGGTTACATGGACCAGTCTAACCCAGTAGGGCACTTCTAATGTTCTAACTGAGGGGGCAGGAGCAAAAAAAGAAAGAACTGTCTTCACTCTTTAACAAATATAATCAAATGTATAAATCAGCAGGCATTTGAAATGATAATAAAGCCCAAAGCGCATGGAAGATAAGCAGTACATTTTTAATGGACTTCATCAGGCACCTAGTTATGTTACTACAACAGATCACTTGTCACTGTTTGCCTGCATCTGCTATCCATCCAAAGATTAACCTTATGTACACTTAGCTACCTGGTGGTCTGAAAGATCCAGATCTGAGTTAAAACAGAATATACTGCAAAATGCCAATAAAGTATCCAGCTTCATAAAAATCAGAACATCCATTCCTTACCTGTTTGACCTGCAGTCCATGACTCCATATCCTTTCTAGGAGATCACAAAGACTGGCTATCAGCGTATTCTCTTCTACACCGGTGATGTTCACTTCACCATGACCTAGTTCCACAGCTTCTCGGCCCATTTTCTCAACCAGCATCCTCTTGGTCTTGAAAAGATGGCAAAACAAAATAAGTTAACTTCTAAATCCTTTGCTCTCTTTAAATACCTTCTCAACAGTAAGATAATAAAACTGGGTTTATATTGTAGCCTTGACAAGGTAGTGCAAACACACTGCTCTCTTATTCATGAGTTACACGAATAGGCAACATCTTTACTGAGCTCTTAACATCCTTTTCCTTCTTCCTATACAGGGACTAAAAAAGGAACACACTGGTTTCTAACAGCAGGTTCAAAGTCTTAGAGTGGAAAATCATCATTAACAGCACCTTCCCAGAGGTCAAGGAAGCCAAAGCCTTATGTGCGCAACCTCTGGAGATTCAGGAATTCAGCAGGGATAGGATTAGGACTGGCATAACCCAGGTCCACCCACCTCCACTCAGAGGAGTGAACCAGGTAATCAGTTCAGAAGGGCAACATCCTCATCTTCCAAGTCTCTATTTTAGGAGAGGAAAGATTTTATTTTTAACATAAACCTATTCTGGAGCGATCGTTCTGTGGTTTTCTGAGCAGTGTCACAGTTACAGCAAACAGCAGCGTACTCAGGATCCAGTATTAGTCTGCTCTCTTTAAGGGCTCCCAAATGAGAAGCAAGAGAAAATGGAAACCAAGTCTTCCTGCTTCTATCTGTAACATGATTCTTTAAATCAATGAAAATAGACCATCAGAAGTTTCTCACTAAGCAGGGAGACTGAGATGACAGCACAAATCCTATTTATCCAGGCCAGCCCTAAAAATTCATCCATAGATCTAGAAGTTAAACTTGCTCCTTTCCAGCTTATGCATCACAGTCTGCAATCAAAGCTCTGCAGGTCAAATTAAGCCCTCAGTTACACTGAGGCAATTCTGTGGTTAAAAGACAATGTCCTCAGAGTTTCCAGACTTGGAAGTCCCTTCAGAGGATTTACACATAGATATGTCAGACTAGAAACAAGGATCAGCAGATTAGGAGTAGTACCCCACTCTGCCAGCACTCCTGTTGTGGTCAGTGGATCCACAGGCCTGACCCAAAGGCTACTGAAGTCAATGGGAGCTTTTCCACCAACTTCACAGGACTGTGGGATTAGCCAAGAGTAACAAACACTTTCACTTTTTGAATAAGGGTGCCCCACTTGAGCATCAGTAAGAAAATATAGATACTAGAGAATTGCCCATCAAGCATGATGGGGCGGTGGGGCTCAGTCCCCACTGTCATGGTGGCACTCCACCATCCCACTCTGTCCCTGCTATTCCCTTTGTTTCCATCCCCCTCCACCACCATCCCGCACCACTGCCACCTCCAAGCTTGAGACTCCCAAGAGTCCCCCCCCGCTATGTCCAACCATCTGTCTGTGTGTCCATCTGTGCAGAGCACGCTGGCTGTTTCAGTAAGCATTGTGATCGGCTGCCGAGACAATCAATCAGTGCTCCAAGAGCGTTACAGACAGACAGACAGACAGACAGACTAAGCCATATATACATATAAAATAGAAGCTAAAATGGAATCCAATAAAATCCTCTGCATTGCTAACAGAGGTAGCAGAAGTCAGTAAAACAGTAGGCAACTGAATATTTTGAAAGTGACAAATCTATCAAATGAGAGAAGTGGTTTTATATAGTTACCTTGGAGTATAGCCATGCTTTCACTTTCATTGTTCGTTTTAATTAAAAACTTTGCTGGCTGCCCTTCTCCTGCCACATTTCATAAACTAATGGTGACTCCAGCCCAAACACCCAGGTCCAACGTAAGTCTCATCTTTGAGATTAAATCTAAACCTAAAAATACTTTATCTACCAGTTCACTTAGACACTTATTTCCAAATTACTCCTTCAGTAATGCTGTATGATGCGTTATTCCATTTTCTGATAGACTATTAGTATTCCCAGGGTATCATGTATATTCATAGGGTTACACACCAAACACAAAACTCCTGATACAAATCCAAAGCCAAGTTCTATTTCCAACCAATCACTCCTTTTTCAACAGTCATTAGCCACTTTCAGTAAATCGCTCATGCAGTTATGTTATAACCTCCCAAGTACAGACGTTTGTCATATTTTCCCTTTGTCATCTTTTCTTTAAGTAATCATTTTCCCTAATCTCTTACCAGTGGTCATACTTTATCACTTTTTTCACTACTGCTTAGCATCTCATATTCCTCAGTGTCTAAGGTAGGGGTGGGTAAAATGCGGCCCCGCCAGGCCATTCTATCCAGCCTGCAGGGCCCCTAAAAATTTTAGAAAATAAATATTTATCTGCCCCGGCTGCCTGTCATGCAGCCCTCGATGGCTTGCCAAAACTCAGCAAGCTGCCCTCTGCCTGAAATAATTGCCCGCGCCTCGTCTAAGGAGAACTAACTGATAGGTTGAACTGGGGCATCACCACTACTTCATGGCAATAGTCGCATGCATTTTATTTTTGCTTATACCTACCTGCTCCCTTCCCTGACACTTTAATGTTTGCATTAACTGCAAACTTGTTCCTGAAGCCTTCACACTCCTATAAACGGAAGAGATTTTTTAAGCAGCTCAGCAGCTGATGTAAATCACTGTAGCATCACTGATTTCAATATAGCTAAGCCAGCTTGTACCAGAGATGAGATGCTTAAGAAAATATTCACAAAACAAAGATATAATGTGACAAGTAAAATATATATGCATTCAATGAAATATTATGCACAGTAGCCCACACTTGTTCTCAATTTTGGGGAGGAATTTGAGCATAAGCTCATGCAAGAATTATTGTCTTCAGCATTATACTAAAGCAAAAGTGTGATTTTAATGATAAGCAGTCAAAATATCAGTCAAAAATACCACAAACTGGAACCAAAATTTATTTGGCAAGTGTGTAAGAAGTTGTTTTATAAGCTTGCAAACTCATTTCCTCTAATAATTAAAAACAGTTTCTGTATTTTCATTGTAATTTTATTTTTAAATGGGACTCGATTGTGGTAACATTTTAAAACAAATCTCAGTTACAGGCATTTGAAACTAAATTGGCTGTGTGTTAGGAAGCTCTGCTTCTGGAAGCATGCTGGGAATACACAGACCTTCAGATGATACACTCTCTTATTTCTAAAATTTTCTGTTCTCCATCATGGATCTTGTAAGAAAAATATCTAATCTCCAATCTTTCCAGGACACCTAAACATATCAATTTAAAGGGGTGGGACAGACCCATTTCAGACTGTGCATGTACCTGAGTCTCCATGAACAAAAGGCAAGTTCAGATTTACTAGTTATAGCCCAGCAAATAAACAAAGAAAGAGAAGAGGAGCAGGAGAACAAAAAGGTCACTCTCTCCACATTACCTTGTTGCGACATTCCTTCAGTAAGCCTTCAACAAATTTCCAGTTTGTCTGTGCAATTACTGATGGAGAGAGGTTAGAAAGTTTAGGCTGCCGAATGGTGCTGCCCAGATTTCTCGCTTCTTGGATATATTTCTATACAAACACAGGAAATAAGAGTAAATTTAAGCAAAAGATGTCATGAAAAAAATATATGCTTGGTACACAGCAGCTGCAAATTGCAGAGGGTAGCACTAAGCATGATCTGTCTTCACCACCCCCATATGCCCAGAAAGGAAAAAGATCACATTATCTTTCTGAATAATGCTCCTTTATATATTTAAAATAAAGGATTAAAGACATTTACTGGGTTACTTCACTGGAGTTAAGATTCTGTTTAAACTAAGTAGCATTAGCATACACTAATGTGTTACTAAAAAAAGTCAACACAACACACAGCTGACCAAAAACTGTTTAGATGTACAGTTTTAATTTCTTCCCCTGCTACTGAAAATGTTTTCCCTTCTCTCCTATGAAAAAGCAAGATCATATTTATGCATATTTGCAATTTACTTTCAAAGTGAAACAGTTATTGTAATCCTGATTATGTTGTATTTAAGCAATAATGCTTTTAGCAGATGTGCAGGGCACATGTGACAGTCAACGGCCTTGGCATATGATTAAGAATGAAGACGACTTAAACACTTTCCTAATGCAGAAGCAGTTTACTGCTACTATGTGCAAAAAATCAAAGATAATCAACATTTTAGAGGAAAACAACTGCACAAAAGGTTTGTGCTGTTCCCATTGTGCCTTCTGAGAATTTACACTGATTTCACTTCAGGAACAAGAATCAGATGGACATGTGTTGAGGGAAAAAATGGTTTTCAAAAATTGTCTGTAGACAGGACTAACACTGAATAAGATCAATGGAGCGGCCCATACAGAAACTGACTGGATATGTATTAACATGTATTTTTAATGCTTCTGGAGGGAAGATAACAACTGACAGAAATCCATCTCAACATATAATGAATAAAAGTGTTTGTTAACATAATAAAAAAGGAATCACTTTATTCTAAAAAACAAGACATACACATTTAGCTACGCATCTTTTCTGATACCATGACTACAGGTCAGGTTGTACACATGACATACCAGATAAAGTTCTGAGAAAGATTTTACAGAGGGCCTGAAAAGCCAATCATGCTGGTCCCAGTCTAAATATAATTGCAACTGAAGCTCTGGCAAGGAAAAGTCCAGATGCTGGCAGGACAGGATTGGTAGCAAAACAAACAAACAAAAATCAAACAGCCCATGTTAAGTGCAAGTATGGTAAACAGGAATGAAACAAAAGCATTCATGCAAAAGCAGAAGAGAACAACAAAAAGGTAACTCAATAAAATGTCATACTGATGAATATTCAACGTAAAACTTGGAAGTAACGACAGTTTAAATAAAAGAAACAGTAAAAAAACCCATTTAAACATTAAAAATGTGATGATAAAATTAAATGAGTTTTTTGCACTGAAAAGATTCATTGCCTAACAGCTGTCAAATCTCAACTCCAAAGTGTCTTTGTTGCTAGCTTCAATTTGTCTAATTTTTATTTTAACCAGTTTCTTGCCTTCCAACTGCTGTAACTGTCACCACTTCATTTAGAATAATTCCTTTTACAGTTTTTTCAAATTTTACTAGCTAAATAAAATAGAAGGCTTGGGCATGTATAAGTTAGATGCCATAGCCCCTAATATTTAGCTACCCAGGATCCATAAACAGCGCACGGGGAGAAAAGCACCTCCAAAGGGGGATCTGAATATCAACATGCAGAGGGGAAATGTCTAGAGGCAGCCAACAGGAAAAACAAGGCAGAGAGATATGCCTAAAACGCTACTCCTTCTGAACTGAGATGCCCACGTCAGGGCTACAGAGAAATGCCTTCCAGAATCCTCTCCCGACAACAGGCTACAATTATTCCTTCAAGTAACTGAGCAAGGTTTACTCTTGTGAAGAAATGGCTACAGGAGAAGCCTACCTTTTACCATTAGTTTTGTGGTATAAACACTCACCCAGGAAGTGGAAAACCCAAGTTCAGTGCTGTTCCCAACCTCAGGGGATTCAAACCTACAGCTCCACACTCTCAACAGGGTGCTCTAATAACAGCTGGAAGCTACATAGCTGGGGCCTCATTACAAAGCTGATCCATTGCACAGTGAGGAATTCAGTATTCATAAGGCCAGAAAGGGCCTGTCCATACCTCCACAGTATAGAATTACGGGTGCTATTCCATACCAAAGAGAAGTGCAATGATCACTGTGCACATGAATCAGACCTGGAACGTCTCAGTATGATGCTTCCTAGCTTTGGGCTTGGGTGGTTTAGAGCCTAGACCGTTCACAAGGAAAGTGTACAAGAGTCTGCCGCCTAATGGCTGCAACAGTCATTAAAGGTCCAGGGTCCAGTCCATGCTGCCACAAAAAATTATGCATTCTACGTTACATAGGGCTTGGATTAAAATAAATAAATAAATAAATAAATAATCATCCTGGGAGCAGGGACCAGGAACTAGGACTGTACTCTTCCCAATGAGTGAATTCATCACTAGTCTAAGTTTTGTGCTCTTTCCTCACCTCACGAATCTTGCACTTTCTTGCACACACCTTAAACAGAACAAGGTAAACATTAAAAACAAGAGCACCGCAAATTTTTATTCTTATTTTAAAATGCAACTAGCTAAAAAGCAATTTTGATATTTTTAAATCAGAATGCCCTAAAATGGTTCCTATATCACCACCTTCCAGCATAGCACTTTAGTGCAATTCATATAATAAATATAGCTAATTTTGCAGAACCACATTACTCTTGAAGTAATTACAAAGTAGGTGTATATTACTCAAAGTCACTGCAGACTCACAATTTAAAATGGTTCATTTGGGAATTCTTTGTAAACAGGATGCTCTCTCAACTTTTTATAATAGAGGTTTTGCTAGGAACACACCCCAAATTTTTACAAGAGTAAATATTTAATGCATATGAAGCACAGGAGCCACTATATATTATTTATATCTGAAAATTCTACAATTTGATGGACTGCTATTTAAGCGAAGTCCAAGTCACTGATCAAATACCATATTTACCTGTGTACTTGTTATGTTAAGACTGCAACTTGGTCGCTATATTTTTATCTTTATTTCAGATCCTTAGGACAGATTTTGAGCTGGCATAAACTGGCATATTTCCAATGCCAATGGAACTATACCATTTTACCTCAGCAGATGATCTGACCTTTTGTTAAAAGAGCAGATGGAGAGATGGCAGAGACATCCTGCAAAATAACTGCTGAGATATTTTGTAAATCAGTAACAACATATGCAACGACAGTCATTTTCTATAGCTAATAAATAGCTTTCACCTCTCTCTGATCATTGTCCAGACGCAAATGCTCTGTGTGTTGTTTCTGTCGGTCTTTCCGCCTCCATTGTGCAGGTGCATTTCTCTTTGTCCATCTACAAATCAAGGAAGACTGTTCATGAGCTATTAAGCATAAGCTAAAGAGGAAAGGAAAGTGGGAGCAAAGGTATCCATCTTTGTTCAGAGTGTCTACGCAGCAAACATTTATCTGCAAGAACAAGTCAGCAACAGGTGCACCAGAAATCAAAATCACATCAATTAGAGCTAAAAACAAGGCAAACTATGCTCTGAACTTTCAGAAGCAGAGAGCCTCAGCTGGACAAAAATAAGATCCAACTTAAAAAACCACCCAATACTTTCCTGCAAAAGTACACACACCCACAGTCTACTAATACTTGGTTTGTAGTTTTCTTCTCTTTTAGGCTTTAGTTACATTTTCACCTCATAACATCTTCCCATTTCTTCATACTTCCTATAAAAAGAAGTTCTTTATTTAAATCCTTGACTCTTACCAGAACCCTGTGCTTTTTCTTAAACCTCTAGCAGTTAAAATCATGCAAATATCCTTAACTTTGCCCCCATGGTGACACTAGACTCCTTGTTCATTCTGATACTAACAGTCCAAAGAGTCCTTTTAGGATTTTCCTCATTAAAAGTGAACAAGGTAAATTTGCTTATTGACATCTTAAATGTGGACACCTGCATGAGAGCTGATCGTGATCAGGCACCACTTCGCAACGTACAAATATCACTGCTTACTCACTTGTTGCTTGCTGGTCCTGTGGAGAGTACATCAGACTGAAGTCTGGGGAAAAACCCAAGTTCATACTTCCCTTGACCAATCTTCATATCCAACAAATGTGGATGGACTGCAGTGTGATCTATTTTTGATAGCCTTAACTCAATGGCTTTCTCTGAAAGTAACAAAGAAAGTTAAGAAGTTTCTTAGGCAGACAAGGTTCTTTAGGCATGAGACCAATTCTAGCATAGCTTTATATTCTTGACTTGCACTTTATATTACAACTCTTCTCCTATTTCTTTGTTTAAAAAAAGGTTAAAGCATTAGGACCCAATATGATAGTATCCAAAATACCTGAGCTCTAGTGATACTAACAAGAATAGCCATAGCTTCTTAAAATTAAAAGAACGATACTTGTCACTCTTACCTGCCTCATCAATTGTAGAGCACTTTTGATACATAGATGTACGTAGAGTTGGTGTCCTCACATTCAGCAGTCTAATTTTATCTACTCTGCTATCAAACACTCTCAAAATAGGGTCTTTGTCATCTTCATCATGGCACATGATCTTATTGTCAATAAAAGACGCAAACATCTGTGTCTCCAGAAATCTTGAGAGGAAAGGTAAGTAAGGTTCAGGCTGGTCTGACAAGAATGATGCCTAATAAAAAGAAACAACACAAAAATTCTATTACAGAGTGTGTAGACACGTTGGACAACAAAGACAACATCTTAAAAATCAACAAGCAATGCGATGCTGCGGCTAGTAAAGCGACCAAAACACTGGCTTGCATCCATAGACGCTTCTCAAGCAAATCCCAAGATGTCCTTCTCCCCCTGTACTCGGTCTTGGTGAGGCCGCAACTGGAGTACTATGTCCAGTTTTGGGCTCCACAATTCAAAAAGGATGTGGAGAAGCTTGAGAGAGTGCAAAGAAGAGTCACACGCATGATCAGGTCAGGAAAACAGACCTTACAATGAGAGGCTGAGAGCTATGGGACTCTTTAGCTTGGAAAAGTGCAGGCTCAGGGGTGATCTGATGGCCACCTACAAGTTTATCAGGGGGAAACATTTGTTCACCAGAGCGCCCCAAGGGATGACGAGGTCAAACAGTTATAAGCTCCTGCAAAACCATTTCAGGCTGGACATAAGGAAGAATTTCTTTACTGTCCGAGCCTCCAAGGTCTGGAACAGCCTGCTATTGGAGGTGGTTCAAGCACCTACATTGAAGACCTTCAACAGAAAATTGGATGCTTATCTTGCTGGGATCCTATGACCCCAGCTGGGCGGGGGGCTGGGCTCGATGATCTTCTGAGGTCCCTTCCAGCCTTAACATCTATGAAATCTAAACATATGTCTAACCAAGTACATACTTGAGAATTTTAGAGCCATTCAAAGCCCTTTTTTTAAATTTCCAGTTTACCCCAAACTCCATCTTTGAAACAAGCCTTTGTAAGCATTTCTTACTTTCCATGAACATCGTTTATTTATAGCTCTTTCTTTATGACTGAAAAAATAAAAAGTTAAAAATAACACCACAACTGAGGTTTCAGCCAAGTCAAATCGCTCAATGGCAAAACCATCACTTGATTCATATGTTAACCATATGACCCGAGTCAAAGCCTGGAGAGGTCCATTTGAATATCTGCACCGACTTCAAAGGCTACTGGATCAGACACTTAGGGGACCAGTATACACAAGCCCAGAGCCGGCTCCAATGCACTTTAATTCTAGCACGTTGAACCAGACTCATTTAAGTAGAGTTTGCTGACATGTGGCAATTACTGTGCTCCAGCCAGCCTCTACATCTTCTGCAACAGCATCCCCGTGCTTCAAAGTGGTGGCAGGGGCGCTTTAACTAAATCTAGTTCTACGAGCTTTAGATAAAGCACCCCTACTGCCATTTTGAAATGTAGGGATGCTGATACACAAGACACTCTGGGCGCTTTAATTGGTGTGGGTCTCAGAGCCGCTCTAATTAAAGCAGACTTCCCCTTCCTGGGACCCATCATGCAGCTCTGCCAATGTGCCTGTAAGATGCCACACTGGC